AACAAAAAATGAAACAATCTTGTTACTGAGTGACTAGTGTACATATTTATAGTATGCTGTTAACCGGAATAAAGATCAGTATTGCTATGAACATTTGGATTACCAAAACAGCATCCTCCCACACACCTCATCAGTATTCTATCAGCTGACATTCAAAGAAATAGCTCGGTCTTCACACAGCCTCATTGCATGCCAACCCTTCACTCTAAATCTTTTTTTGTTTGCCCTAGACTAGTAAAGTACATCTAGAGTGTTAGGTACCCCTGCCAGCATTAATGATTTGAGTGGGAGAGAGGCTGATATTTATCTAGATTTAGCAAAAAATACCATGGAGAGGAGAAAACTGTTTACATTGTTTTTTATATATCTCTCTGTTGGACTCTCATTCTCCAATATTCTATCTCTTTTTAGTTTTATTAGAAAAATTCACCAAGTTCTTGGACTGGCCTACTTAGTTCTATCATATAGTATATCACCTTCAATGAGTTCTCTGCAGTATAGTTTGACATAGTCATTAGATTTACTGTTAATTCTCTTTAACTGTACACAGCTTCATTTTTACTGCAGATCTATATTTGCTGTTTTCAAGTATTTTAAATAAATCAATGAATACTTCATAAAATGTGCAGAAAGCAAAGACACTTTGTTTGAAAGAAACATGAGAATAGCTGCAGAGAATGGACACCTCAGCTTCAGTACAATCTATGCAGTCCAGTGCATAACCCTTAGTAAATTCTCGACATTATGTCACAATAAATAAGTTTTACAAAGTCATCCTTGATAACATAATTTATACAATACTCAAATACATCACCTATAATAAGTTTTATATAATCAGTAGGTTCAACATATATCTACAGCACTAGTCTAAGGTCTGAAGCACTAAGCCTGTCCATAGTTCAGCGTGTGATAGCTTGGAGCATCCCAGATACCAAATCTCTGAAGGATAAAACATGTCATGACTGATAAAAACTCATTTTAAATAAGACATTTTGAAGCTTAAAATTATTAAGTACCTGCTCTGTGGATGCCCTATAATAATTAGTCTGTCCATCCATCTGATTTCATTTTCTCTCCCCCTGGCCTAATTAGGCTCAAACTTCACAATCACCCATAGATTGCCTGTGGGTAGATGGTGTGCAGTGACCTTGAATCAATTTTCTAGGTCAAAGGTCAAGGTAAAATAAAATCTCTCTACGTAAAATCTTTGTTCAGAGCAAATTTTTACCCTCCTTGGCCCAGTTGAGCTTATACCTCACCCAAAGAGTGCCCATGGGTAGAGGGTGTGCAGTAACCTTGAACCAATTTTCTAGATGAAAGGTCAAGGTCGAAAATTCTCTTTGTGTAAATTTTTTGTCTGAAGATAATTTTCTCTCCCATTGGCCCTACCTAGCTCAAACTTCATCCAACAGAGAGCCCATCTCAGTAAAATTCTCATATTGAGCATTTTTCTCCCATTGGCCCCATCTGGCTCAAACTTCAGCTAAAAAGGACCCTTAGATTAAGAATCTTTTATCCTAATATCCTTTGCTAAGAGCAAGGCCCTTTGAGATGGTCACCATCTCAAAAATGTCTAGTTTTAATTTTGTCACACGTAAAATGGATTAATAAACAGAGTATCGATCTCAGATTTCCAACTTCCTACAAATGTTTGATTCCTCCTTGATTTACTGAGATGATTTCCTAACAAAAATTAATTCCTATTTTTTTCATTAAACAATAATAGTTACAACAACATTTTTATAAGTACATAATGCCACATTTCTGAAGTTTTAATAGTACAGTTTGTCACCTTATCCTACATAAATCGACCCCTTCTCTTTCTTTTTAGTCTTTGCCATCATTGCTAATGCTAAAATAATCCACTGTGCAGCATCTTGTGTGTGTGTGTGTGTGAAGGAATTAAATCAGATATTGATCTTGGACTGGTTTTAATAAAAGACAATCTTGTACTTCAAAAAGAATTCAGGGTAGAAAGTATGTTGTCTAATTGTAATGTTGTTACTGAACGAATTGATCAGAAACCCAAGTTAAGTTAGGCTAGATCAATCTACAAACTGCATTAATCACAGCCAAGTCTCCATAACCAAACACAAACAATATCTAGAGTGATCAAGCATTTCAAATTGAGCTTTTAAGAATATCAAAGCTTTGTCAAATTAGCTGGGTACTAAAATCAATCAGGACGTTTTGTCAGGGCGATCTGGCCTGCTACACAAACTGCTTTAGGCTCTATACCGCAACTTAATTCTTCCAAAGCACAGCTTTGATTAAAAAACAGCTAGCACGAACAAAATCGATTGGCTTTATCTATGCTGATGGTATCAAAAGACTTGCAGTGCTTCATGTGTATTCCGCAGGTTACACAAACAACACCTATTAAACATTATCTTGACGATGTTTTAATGGCAATTATGATTTTTTTTATGCCGTCATATAAAATTTGCCTTCTCATTGCCAGAGAACCTGATAATGATTTAATTAAGAATTTCATCATTTGGGTGATAAATTGATCGATTGACCTTCTATCGCAGACTTAGTTGTGATGATAAAAGGTATTTACTCTTATTTAAATTCTTGATAAAAAAAGCTGGCATCTCCAGCGACTCTGAATCAATTCCCCTTGCACTCCTCTGTACTGCATTAAATCTGTCTGTGATCAAATGGGCACCCAGTATCTGCAGTAAATAAATTCCTCACATCCTTCCTAAAACGGAGCCGGAATCTTAATGAATATTCAATAATGTTTAACTGTGTAACTTTTCTATTTATACCTTTGATTTCCTCCACCTCTTGCCTAGTTAACTGTCAAATTTTGGCCTCCCCTGACTAACCCTTGGCTACTGTTAATGTTTTGAATAATTATCCCTTGATGTAAAAATATTCTGAAAGTCCACATATTGACTGGCAATCAACTTTGTATTAAATATTGCAAAATATGGGCGATTTCTGATTCAGTATATGACTCCTTAATTGCAAATACTAAACGTAATGGCTTTAAGAATTTTTTGGGTGCCCGAGGCACACAATAGAAGCTTATTAATAGCTCAGATCTGACATGCTACAGACTCCAAGGTATCCATTGATTTGTTGTAAACATACAGTGTTAAATTTGATAGTCCATTCTCACTAACTTTAAGAATCCTTAATAAGAGTCTCGAATCAAATGGCCTTTCTCTTCTCACTCATTTACCATGTTCTCTGGTCTTACTAACCTTTATTGATATTTTTGTAGACAACTGATGTGTTAAAAAAAACAAAAAAAAGCTTTCAGTTATGAATTTTAATTACAAGGGCATTAATAGAAATCACATTGGGGATACTGGCTAGCTTTAGTGGGGATTCGTATGCAATTGAAAATACATACAATTTCAATGTCAAACTTGGTTTCCTTTACACAAAAGTAAATTGCAAACAGGTTCGAGAATGATCACCTGAGTTTTTGTTTTACAGTTTAAGTACAATTTATCACACGTTTGTAATTCTCTAATGAAGCGTTTTCACATCTGTAAGAACATGTCAACGACAATCAAATCTGTCCATAAAATAAGATTGTTGCTCTATACCGAGCCATAAAATCACTTGGCAGTACTGAGCGTCCATTGTCAGAACAGTCATACACGGTAGTACCATCCAATGACCAAAAAAGAAGACATTTCCTGATTGCTGCTCATTGATCTTTTTTATGCCGTTACTGCCTTGAGGAGTTTCATTGAGAGGACATTGCTGTGTTCCCTGACGGCTTTCTCACTATTAAGTGCCACCACAAAATATGTCTCATAAACTGCCATGTGAATTTCAAGCCTTTTTTTATCTACACCTTATCTATTTTTGGAGCATTGTATTCTATGTTCTGCATATTTCAATATCATCTAATGGGTGGTATAATAATGAGACTTGACCAAGAGGGAATGAAAATGTACACATTAAAATAACACAAATATCCAAGAAAGGACCCTTTAGTATGATTCTTACATGTAATTTATTACACTAATGCAAGCGTGACATTTTTTCTTTTCAATGTCTTTTTTTTTAAATTGATTTATAACTATTTAAAAAAAAATTCAATAAATTTTAATTTTTCATCAAATCTACTGCATCTAGCAAGCTTGGTGACCATTCATAAGAGCAGGCTTACAAATAGTGACCGCTATGTATACACACAGTGTTGCAAGCCATGTGACTGGTGTGTGATCTAGGTTTGCATATTAATATAAAAGTACTTGATGTGAACTTCTTACACCTGAGTTGATTCATTAATTTCCCTTTCCAAAAAAAAAAAAAAAAAAAAAAAAAAAAAAAAACAGGTGAAAACAACAAAAACACTTTTATGGATACAAGAAATGTAAACAGGTATAATAGCCATCCTCTTCATCTCAGCTGACCCTGTTATCATTTGTGGCTGATGGAGAATTCTCAGAAAATATGATTGCTATTTTGTTTTCGACATTTAATCTCATAAAGGGCTAATAGTCTTCTGGAATGGCTCCACACCTTTTTTCCAGGGGCTCACTTGCTTGCTATTGCGTAACACCCACAGAGTAATTGCAATACATGCCAGCTTCATGCAGATCAATATGCCTTGATTGTGAAATTCCATCTAAATTAGATGAGCTGCTAATTTACTAAAATCAAAACTTGGGAACAGTACAACATTTAGCCTGATGAAAGCCTGACTTGGCATCATCCATTGACTTTTTAGTATCATCACTGATTAGTTTGATATTTTAGATTTCACCGAGATGAAACCAAAGATGAAAGAAAACCTCTTAAGTTCATTTCTCTATTATGTCACATCATTCAATATGTAGCCAACAAAACTTCATTTTCCAGGTAATGAAAATTATCACTGGTCCATTTACTGCTAATGCGCCGAGACAATATAAAATGTGAAAAATTCATTTAAACATACATGTATCACACTGACAACATCCTTAATTTTCATCAGAAGTTGAAAAGTACTCACAGGAAGCAACAGAAAAAAAGATATATTAACTTACCTAGCTCTACAAGCTGAGGTCATGTGACGTGACAGAGTTATCTGTCTTGATAATCAATGTAAGCGACTGATGCTTTTTTCAAATGCCATGCCTCCAAGAAAATTCTCAAAACATGGTGTTTGAGGAAAATTCCACTGATTGTTCAGACACTTCCAATTATACAGACCCTACAAAGAAATAAGAAATCAGAGTTACCAATGCATACAACTAGATTTGGTTTTTCTAAATGATCATCATATTCATGTGAAAGATTTAACAATTCAATATACAAGATCTCCATGACAATGGAACTTTCACACAAAATAATAATCTGGGAAAAAAAAGGAAATTGAGTTTGATGAGTATGATATGGAATTTTTCCCCTCTGAATTACACTTTGGACCTTTATGATCTTCTCAATGTTGCCCACTGTAACTAATATCACACGGCCAAATTGGAACTCTCTATTAAGTCACTGGTTTTAAATGAGATAATAAGGGAAGAAAAAAAATAAATGTGTAAAAAAAAAAGTACAAACAGCTTAAAACTGTATTTGGATAAATGTTAGGTAACTTGGCCCACTTTAACAATCATCATATGCATACAGCATTTCTGTATAATAGGACAATAACTGTATTGATCTGTGTAGCCATTATCTTCTTCCCCACCCCTCTCCTGCAGTGATACAACTTTAATTGATACAGGTATACCCAGAAGTGATTTGGGATGACACTTTTCAAAGTCGGAATAATCAATGTGCTAATCAAGCCCAACGGTTGATGACTTGATCCACTACCGAGTCACCCCAATAAATTTTCTGTTGCTCTTTTCCTCATGCTGTACACAAATTTGACTGTTATAAATGGGCAAAATGAGAAATGTGGTTGTACACTATATTACACTATAATAGAAATAGATTCTGCTTGTACCAGATTGTATGAAGAACAATACCACTTCTACTTTTATTAATGTGAAAATGGATGTTATATTCAAATCAAAGGCAAAATTCTTTTATACATTCAACAGTTTTTTTGTCCAACTCTTTTTGTGCTTTATCAATTGTACATTCCTTGACAAAAATTGTTAGCAAGTTTGCAGTGTTTTTTTTACTTTTTTTTGTTTTTGCTTTGCTTTTGTTTTGTTTTTTTGAGATTTTTATGCCCCCGTAATCTAAAATTCGGGGGCATATAGTTTTTGCCCTGTTCGTCCGTCCGTCTGTTTGTCTGCAAAAACTTTAACCTTGATAATAACTTTTGATTGGTTGGAGATATGGCTTTCATATTTCATGTGTATTCCTTGTGACAAGACCCTTTGACCTTGGAAATTGACATACTTTTGAAAAACTTTAACCTTGGCCATAACTTTTGAACGGTTGGTGCTATGGCTTTCATATTTCACATTTGTATTTCTTGTGAAAAGGCCTTTCGTTGCATGGGCACCATCAACTTTGACTATTCGACCTTGACCTTAATGTTTGGCTTACTTTTGAAAAACTTTAACCTTTTCCATATCTATTCAATGGTTGCTGCTTGGGCTTTCATATTTCACAGGCATATTCCTTGAGACAAGACCTTACTTTGGGTACAACATATTTGATTTGCATTTGAGAAAGTTCAACCTTCTCTACAAGTTGCCATACAGGGGCATCAGTTTTTCACAAACACATCTTGTTTTTTGTTGTTGTTGTTTTATGTTCTTTAATCAATAAGCAGTAGTTTAATCTTGTACAATTCTTTTAACATTGAACATAGTTTCTCAAATGTTGATTATTTCAAAAACCATGGACATGTCAAAGTGATTTTAAAATCCCAACCACTAATTCTGAATGTATTTTAACCTCAGTATCTCCTGGGAGTTTTTTCTCAGTTCCATTGCCTTTGAGATGAAAAGTTTTGACTGTGACTGATGAAATACCCTATCTATGGCCCTTTAAAGGAAAATTTTCAAGGCATAGGATATTAAAAACATAGTAACCCATGTGTACCAACACCTGAGGCTGCATTCTGCCCAACTTTCATCACAGAACAGTCTTTAAGTTCATAGATACAAAGTCTGTAGCTTACTTAATATCTCTGTTCAATTTTACATGTTGTACTTTATACCAATCAATTTTAAATGTTGCACTGTTTTCATCAAGACAACATGAATTCAAATGTTGGGATGTAATGATTTGACCTTCAGTCTCGTCTCCTTCTCATAAAATATGGCATCAAATACTGCTGACATTTTGTGACAAAACCCCTGGCAAAGTTATTTTGTTGTAATATTTTTTTAACTTCATCATTACTGGCAATAATTGTTTGTTCATCTTATTAGATTTTAAAGTCCGTACAGTAAATACTATAATGAAGGAAAACTAACAAGCACTCAATTTCTCCAATACAAGGTTAATGAACACATCAGCTCAGCAATATCTTCCAACCAAAGGTTGACAATATCATCTTTGATGCTGAATTCCACAATGCAGTGGTAACCTGATTCGTTCGTATGAAGGAAATGAACTATCTGAAACACATATATAGACCAACCGCTTATCGTTCATTGTTTCCTCATTAATCATCACATAGTTTAAAGTTATAATCTGATCATAATCATATGTGGTTCCTTTTTCCAGCATCTCTGAACTTACAAGGAATAGTACAATCATTCTGAAATTTTTAATAGTATCAAGGGGATGAAAATGTAGCATTTTCAACAACTTGAAAACAAAATTAGAAACACAATTTTTTTTAATCTGGAAAAGATCAATATTTCATCAGCTTGAAAAAAAATGTCTAGTGCTGTACAGAAGATACATAGGAACATGTAACTCACTCTGAACAAGTACCAGTGCACCAAACTGAATTAAATCAGTCAAAATTTGTTACATTGTTGTGTATTATCAACGCGATCAATAGGACAATAGCTATACTTTACATTTCTGGCCCTATAACGCCTACACACAGTTTTTATCTGGCATACATAAAAGACAGAAATCACGATGCTTCTGTTGGAATCAAAGACATTGCTTCCTACATACCATGTAACAAACATAATATTTGGTTATCGAATCATAATTAAGCTATTTATTGTCAGCCGGGGACTAATACCTTAGCCATCAGCAATCAGATAAATTAGCACGTTATAAACTAATGACCGAGAGAAAACAACTTATTTCCCTGCTATTCTCAAAATATATTAAAGTGTTCTGAGAATAGCTCAGGGATTAAGATAGATCAACTCTATTTGAATTGGAGCTTACCCTGAAAACACTCTCGTTTTTAGATACATGAGTTAGAACACATCAAAAGCTGCTCAAAAAGGTAGATAACTCTAAATGCTTCTTTTATTACAAGAAACAAGATGACTAACATTTCATGTAATTTTAAAATTATACATGTAAGTCCTCAGCCACAGTTTTCTGTTTATATACCATTTCCAATAATTTCCATTCTTCTTCAATCAATATTACTGTTTTTCACTTAAAAATGTATCTAATAACATGAAAATCTTTGTATGAAAGGTGCAAAAAGGTTAAATCTGAGTTTCACTGAAACAATGACTCAACACGAGACCTCTCACAAACACTGGCAGAGTTTATATGTTGTCTTATGGAAACATAAATCTCACGAGACATTTATATAAACACTAAAGAGAAGACGTTATGAAACATCTCTCTTCCTCTGCCACTAGTAAAAGATCAGCTTCTTTATCTTTGATTGTATACAGACCTGCTGCATTCAGTGTTCACTGTTTACAGAATGTGTACATACAAACAGAAGGTAGCTTGGCAGCCAAAGACAATCAATCTACATCGTACCATTGATCAAGTACCCCTGTTTGGTAGGGGGAAGCTTTGGTATAACCTTGACACTTTGACATTATCACATCCAACAAGGGGAAATAACTAGCCGAATCAAGAACAAATGGCACCGACCACAGGCTTAAAGACTTGGAAAACAAACGGCCACAGAGAAAAAGCAGCAGAATGGTATTCAAAAGTGTGATGAATTAAGAAGTTCTGGAGGCATGAACATCACAAACATTAATTTATTTTCTTCTATATGAACACATATTTTTTTACTTACAACTTTTGGAAGGGAAAAAAAAACTCTCCTCAACGTATACACAAAGATTGCAGAAGAAGCTTGTATAAACAGAATATCTCCAGCACTGAGTAGCAATACACTAAGTAAACTATGGGCTTCCCAGTTGTTTCCAATGTCAGCGCAAGACAATGCTAGTGATCATTTATAGATAATAAAAACATGCAATACAGTGATGGGAGCTTCAGGCAGAAACCAAAGAAAACCATTCACTCACCTGCCGCTCACAGCGCCCTCTTTCCACCTCGACTGGGCACGCTCCCAAGTCCTTAAGTCTAAGGAGTTATTTCTAAGCCATCACCTTCAACGACCTAATTGTGACATCAAAGAATGTGGATATTGTTCGTTTACCTAACTATGACAATTAGAACATGATTAACTAATGACTAAAGGAAAAGACTCTAAACTGACAACCTTGAGTCTTATGACCAGGTATTGGACGGATAAGAGAATGGACTTTCTACCTTTGAACTACAACTTGTTGCTAAAAAAACATGGCACAACACACACACCTACCCTCAGTAATTCAGTTTCAAACAGAAAAATTTACTTCATTGCAAAATCTACAACACAGCAGTAAGCATAACAACTTACAAAAATTTCCAATAATTCAAGAATTTCTAGGAATAAAACTGACCCAATGATATCATATAGCTGTTTTGAGGATTTACAGGTTACTGGGGATAATTTTGGTTTTGTCAGCAACCTGTATTATACAATCCTAATATACATGTACAGTTCAATGTTTTAAACCTTCATTCTCAAAAAATGCTCATCCCACTAAAATATTTGCAACTGATCTGCTGCCAAAAGATTTCAAAAGCAATTTTCTTTTTATTAATATAACCCCGTTTTTTCATGGCATTTTTTATGTTTGGCTAAGAATAAAACAGTGCAGCAAGTGAATTTTCAAGCATTTCAGCAGCCTCCTTTTAATCAGCATTATAAAACAATCTAGAAACACAGTGACCTGATGATGGGATCTTAACACAAGAACTGAAAATAGAACTCAATACACCGCAGTCAATCTTCTGCATGTGCAAATCTTCAGTATGTATAAATATATTATAGACACTCAGCTCAGGGGCTGTCCAAAGTGTGAA